AACCCGAGATAACGTGTAACCAGATAAACACATGAGATAACGTATAACCAGGTAAACACATGAGATAACGTGAAACCAGGTTCTCCTGAGATAATGTGAAGCCAGGTAAATACCTGAGATAACATGTAACCAGGTAAATATCTGAGATAACGTGTAACCAGGTAAATACCTGATATAACGTGTAACCAGGTAAATACCTGATATAACGTGTAACCAGGTAAATACCCGAGATGACGTGTAACCACGTAAACGTCTGAGATAACGTGTAACCAGGTAAATACCTGAGATAACGTGTAACCATGTACATTCCTGCGATAACGTTTCCCCCGGTAAATACCTTAGATTATGTGTAACTAGGTAAATACCTAAGAAAACTTGTAACCAGGTAAACACCTTAGATAACGTGTAACCAGGTACATACCTGACATAACATGTAATCAGGTAAAATCCTGAGATAAAGTGTAACCAGTTGACACATGATATAACGTGTAAACAAGTAAACAGCTGAAATAACGTGTAACCAGGTATATACCTGGGACAACGTGTAACCAAGTAAACACCTGAGATAAAGTGTACCCAGTTGACACATGAGATAACGTGTAACCAGGTAAACACCTGAGATAACGTGTAACCAGGTGAATACCTGGGATAACGTGTAACCAGGTAAACACCTGAGATAACGTGTAACCAGGTAAATACCTGGGACAACGTGTAACCAGGTAAACACATGAGATAACGTGTTACCAGGTACACACATGAGATAACGTGTAACCAGGTAAACACCTGAGATAACGTGTAACCAGGTAAATACCTGGGACAAGGTGTAACCAGGTAAACACATGAGATAACGTGTAACCAGGTAAATACCTGGGATAACGTGTAACTATGTACAAACCTGGGATAACGTGTAACCAGGTAAAAACCTGATACAACGTGTAACCAGGTAAAAACCTGAGATAAAATATAACCACGTAAACATCTGCGATAACGTGTAACTAGGTAAATACCTGATATAACGTGTAACCAGGTAAATACCTGAGATAACGTGTAACCAGTTGACACCTGAGATAACGTGTAACCAGGTAAATACCTGAGAAACGTGTAACCAGGTTAATACATGAGAAACGTGTAACCAGGTAAATACATGAGAAACGTGTAACCAGGTAAATACCTGAGATAACGTGTAACCAGGTAAAAACCTGAGATAACGTGTAGCCAGGTAAATAACTGAGACAACGTGTAACCAGGTAAAAACATTAGATAAAGTGTAACCAGTTGACACATGATATAACGTGTAACTAGGTAAACAGTTAAGATAACATGTAACCAGGTATACACCTGAGATAAAGTGTAACCAGTTGTCACCTGAGAAAACGTGTAACCAGGTAAATATATGGGGTAACGTGTAACCAGCTAAATACCTGAGCCAACGCGTAACCAGGTAAAAACCTGAGATAAAATGTAACCAATTGTCACCTGAGATAACGTGTAACCAGGTAAGTATATAGGATAACGTGTAACCAGGTAAATACCTGAGACAACGTGTAACCAGGTAAAAACCTGAGATAAAGTGTAACCAGTTGTCACCTGAGATAACGTGTAGCCAGGTAAACAGCTGAGATAACGTGTAACCAGTATTTAACCTGAGATAACGTAGCTGTTCTCTTGTGTAATTTACAGTATATGTTTTGTCAACATCATTAACATAGATCACATTTAAATCATCGTTGGTTTCACTTTGACAAACATAACATTTAATTAATCAATTAACCTTCGACAACTTAATTTTTTTAACATTATTTCATAGACAATATCCGAACATTTTCTTTATCCTGTTACGTACCGTTTCTTTTTCCATTAAAAAAGTTTTCAAGGGATTGTATTAACGACAATGTAAGCTTGTCCGCGGCCTCGTACTAAGAATTATTACTATCCACTAAATGGTAACTACGTATGTCGTAATTATTATCGCTTTTATAGCATTTACTGTCTACAGTATACCCCGCTTATCTCAATACAGGCTCGTTACAAAAAGAATATATATTTAACCATTTCACTATGTCGAACCTGGTCTTAGAATTAATCAGCTCCTCAAGTTTTACAATAAATCATTAATAGCTCAGCACATAGCTATCGTTCAAGGAGTTTGTATTGTCGTGTGACTCGAGTATGATCTATACTTGAACACGTTGCATGTTACAGATTTATTAGCTAATTTTGCTTAGTCAGGCAGACGTTATAAAATGTTAATTTATTTAAATGCGCTATTAACACGAGGTATAATATGGATTTCGTTGGCATTTCACTTTAAATTCTCTGAAACTGATTTATTTCGACAGCGGTTGCTAATAGTTTTTCTTTTTAATGTTTAACGTTAATCTACGATAGAAATTGTCTGAAAGGAAACACATCTGATTTAATTATTAATACACAAGTATTGTGCAAAACTACTATGTATTATAGTTGTATATGTATGGTATTATATTAACGGTTTTAATACGTACATATGATATTGTGGTTACCATGGTGACCAATATATTACATTTACTATACGGAGAGTAACGTTTTATGTTTTGTTACCATGGCAATGGGCGATTTATACTGGCTGAAAGGACATTTACCGATGATATTTTTATTACCATGGTAACGATGATATTATGTTGATTATTTGCAGTTACGTGTGAAATTCATTTCGACAATTCTTTTCTTCCGTTATAATGTAAATGCTATAAATTACTTTAAATATTGAATAAGACAATTAAGATCTTAAGATAATTAAGCCAATATTAAGCCTGTCATTTTTTAATTATAATTAATTACAATTATCTTTTTCTCAGAAGTTTGATTTAAAGTTCCGCCTAAGCACACAGGGAAGATATATATGGCTTTCATGTATTATTATGTATTAAATGTTTGTTTTGACCATTAATTGAATCACTAAAAACAAAAGTAAAAAGCTTGGTAACGCACTCATTCATTTTTATGTATTTTAAATATCTATTCCCATCATATACACTGTTAATAGTGATTTGTCTTCTCACGTTTTAACCATTGATTGATTGTTATAATTGTCAAATAGAAATTCGTGTTATTTATTACATTGTATAAATGTTGTTTTTGACGAAAATGTGTATTCAAATGGCAAATGGTTTTTATTACTTTGATAAATAAATCTATAATTTTGATTTAAATTCATTAATTTTAAGTAGAAGTATTTGTATCTTGATATTTAACTCACTCAGTTAGGTAAATGCAACATACATATAATTCCAAGAATGAAAATGAAAACGTTATTTAAGTACTGATGTTAACTCGTCTATCCCTGAAGACACTTTTGAACTCTTCTATTTCAAGGGTTGGAATAGTTCATTATGCAATAATAGGGGTGAATGAGCAAATTAATTTGGTAACATTTTTCATTTCGAATTAAATCAATATTTGGATGAAATTTTGTATTTCAGGTGTTATAGCACGGGACAAAAAGTCGTATTAATCAGTGTTTAGAATCTCAATTAAATATACGAATTTGTTTTTATGGCAGGACCAATACATATGGAAAAACATAAACGATTAATTGAGAGTGTTTTGATATATGCTGCAGTGATGGTGTGGAGAAAGAAATACTATTAATCTCCTATAATCGCTACAGATTAAAAAAGGGAGAGTTATCTCGCTTTTAATGATTTAAGATAATCTTAAAAAGTAATTTATTGTTGCTGGCCAACATGTTACTTTAAAATCAAATAACAAGCAGCAAAATAAAAATAATTGTACTGATGATTTACCATACCTTACATTCAGATAATAATCTGATGAAGCAAACGAAACCTAGCTTTCTCTAAGAAACAAGAAATAGGTTTCCATACAAATTAGCATTGAAATGAAATTTAAAAACCAATGTTGCATGTTATTTGACTGAACCACGTGAAATGTAACCCATGTCGCCTATGTCCAAACGTTGTTGACATCTGATGGGTTTCATTGTGGAAAAGCATTCTGTTTCTTTATTCAGATCAACACGTTATGCTATCATATTATTTTTGAACGTTTTGCAGGCAAATGTTAAATTTCACTTTTGTGAATAAATTTCAAGCGATAATATACGAAAAGCGTGTGTTGTGTCGTTTTTTGAGTGTTATATATATGGGAAAAGTATTCAAATTGGTATACTTTTGATTCGACCCTCCTTTTTTAGAATTCTGTCCTGACTACGATTACTCTTTCTGTTTTCAGAAAATTGTCGCTCATCCTATCTACTTTTTCGTATTCTCCGAACATTCGTTTTTCATTCGTCATATTAAAGCTACGTCGGCCTTCATGTTATTTACTGTATTTAAAGAAGGAAAAGAACGAAATATCTCTAATACTAGGAAATTAATAGATGGTCGTACACTGGTGGGTATCTGTTGTATCAATAGTAACATTCCAGTTCTACCAGACAACGACTCAGCCTGGACATGTGGACAATTTAAATCTCTATTTTGACATTGCAGGCCTTTCCAATCAATAGTATTTTATTCTAAGGCCTAGTTCATATGTGCCAGTGCAGTCCCACTCCTTGTTCATCAATGCCATTTACAGTTAACCGCGATATATTTGCCCTGAACAAATCCGCAATATGGACTTGTAACATTAAATATGGCCAGGGCTTTGTTCACACTACGGTTGTTTCCAAATTTGAATAACTTAATTGATTGAAATGTTTGCTTCTTGTTGAGTTCATCTTTTCATATACAGCGAAATGACAGAAAGCAAAAAGGGAGCAAACATTTTCTTATTTACAGCACACACAAAATCTTTCCGAATGAGAGAAGGGAGTGAAAGAGAACAGTGCATGAATACAGATGTTGCTAAACACAACAAAAACACTCACATACTATTCACTAACTTACACATTAGGTTATAGGAAATTAGACAGTAGAATATAATATACCGCATATTGAAGATTTAAGATACAACCATTTCAGATGCAGCTGTGTAATTCTCTGACTCATGTTTCAATGTTATTTGAAATTTGGTCGACATTTCCAATAAACACAAGAAGACAGTCCACCATATTTCCACTTATCATCGTTAACAAAACTGTATTATCAGCTATACTGGATTATAATGTTTGTGTCGTTACAGGAGAACTCCACGTCCCGTTAGAAGTATGCGGTGCCGTGGTGAAGCGAGAGCTCGACTACTGGCATGTCAACCAGTACTGCATCAAATCCTGCTGCTGGCGACACTACCGTTCATACATCGAGAACAGAGCCATTCTCGACTCGTTCAACCGAAGCCTCGAAAATGAACGAGTTCAGATCAACATCAATGACTACGTCGGATGGAAACAGTTACAAATGAAAATTTGGCTCATTCTGGAATATCCGCGGACATCGCGAATAGCCATGGTGAGTTGTCGCCCTGTAACAACTATTCAAGGTTATTGTGCAATTTCAGATTATTTCCTATATATGCGTATGCATATTGGTGTAGTTTAAAAGATGGTCGACGTTGATAAGTCGTTAGGATGAGTAGAGTTTAATGTGTTATAATTACTATATCATATATTCATATTTATGGGGCAAAGATTTGACCCATATATTGATATTTATATAGAGATATAATTGGCATAACGTTTAAATACTGTTTCAATCTGTTTTTGCCAATCAAAAGTATATGTTTTCTCTATGTGTTTTTACAATGCGTTTAAATGGTTAGAATTGAGGTTATGCTCCTACTGTGTCAAATTTCAAGTTTGCAAATCAAAACAAACTTTTTCTTTATGTGCTTTTACAATGAGCTTAATTGATTACATATCAAACTGAGCTCCTACTGTGTCAACTTTTAATTGTATGCAATACCTTTCGTTTATTGTGCATTACAGGTATATGGTGTGGTGTCGCTATTGTTCGTCATTGTGTCCATCCTCGGGTTTTGCCTGGAGTCGCTTCCGATGTTAAAGAAGCCATTAAAAAACGTCACCGTTAGCGTTAATAGCACAGGGGGCTGTGAAGGAGCAGGTGCGCAAGTCATGACTCAAAACGAGGCTCTAAATATCCTTGACATCATTTGTACTGTATATTTCACAATCGAATTGGCAATAAGATTCTGTTTTGCTCCGGGGAAAATAAAATTTGTTCGCTCTATGATGAATGTCATAGACCTGTTAGCGTTAGTTCCACTGTATATGCAACTTATCTTCAATACGAACGAATTACAATCTTGTTATGTAAACGAACGTCTGGTTATTGAGATCATGTTCCTGTTAAGAATAGTGAGAATGTTTAGAATAATGCACCTCGTGAAACACTACCAAGCATTGAAGATATTGGTTTATGCTCTCAAAGCCAGTGTTCAAGAGTTGCTCATGCTTGCTATATTCCTCCTGATCGGCATGCTTGTGTTTGCATCCATGATTTACTATGCAGAACGAAAGGACGCTGTTCGTCCTAGTGATACGTTCAACACAATTCCAATGGGATTTTGGTGGGCCCTTATTACTATGACTACAGTAGGGTACGGTGACGTTTTCCCAACCCAGCCTATCGGTTACGTTGTAGGGGCCGCTTGTGCTGTTAGCGGTGTATTGATGCTAGCGCTTACCATTCCTGTTATATCACACAACTTCACGCTCTTTTACACGCATGTGCGATCACGTGGTACAAAGGAGGAGGAGCGGGACAGGTACAGAGACAGTATGAGCACGTGTGTGAACAACCCTTTCATGGAGGATACTGCAACTGTAAATTCGGAAGAGGACGGATACGGAACAATTTCATTGTTAGAAGAAAAGAACAAATCGTCTGAATCCGTTTTAGACACATACATGAACGGTCATGCAACACTTAAGCACTTTCCAGGAAGAAAGTCTCCTAAATATAAACACTTCAAAAAGATTCCAGAAGCTACATCATTGAATGATATAATCATTCGTAATTCGGAGTTTGACATCACTGGACCTGAAAGTGATAAAGCTAGGTCTGACGACGGGGTTGCTTATGCAGGGGAAACATTATTGTAATACAGGTACATCTTCAAGAAAGGACCATCATTGTTTCTGTTTCTGTAACTTAACTATCTACTCGCTAATTGTCTCTCTGATTCCCTCCAACTCGTAAATATATCCTTGTATAAGACCTCTGTGAATTTGGCCTTACCGAAAACTAGCGAATTACCCATAACACAATGTCAAAATTGCATCCGTTCGTCCGTCCTTTCATTATAATATCACATACAATTTAGGATAAAAGAATATGAGAAAAGTATGATAAAGGTATTACTATAATAAATATCGCACATTAATTTCGATAATCATGGACGATTTCGTAAATCGTGTTCTTCCATTCAAGTCAGTCAAAGAGGTCTACGCTTGCAATCTGCCCTTCAGTGTCTTTGGAATGCTACTTTAATTGTCAAAGTAACTATAGAAAGCTAAGCAATTTATAAACATACATTGGCAAAATCATTGCCTTGTATGACTACATTAGGCTTTTAATTGAAATTATCAAAAGAAAAAAAAAGAAAAAAGTTTACAAATAATTCAGAAAATTCAGAAATATAATATAAAACAGTTTTCTAAAATATTCTGTTGGCTTGATGCAAAAATAAAGTATGGGAATAATTATGTCGCTATCCCACGTAATACGTAGAAGTTGAACCAGAGTTAATGAAATTAAGAAAACGTTTGATGTGATAAGGGTAAGAGACGTTGGGTTATCAGGTCATAGTCGTGATTCGCTGTGCAAAGACAAATCCTTCAAGGCCATAATTAATCACCAATATTACAATAAGCTGTATTAGTGAAATTTTTATCAATTTTGTTAAATAGTCTTATTATAGGAAATTGTCTTAGTGCAACGGATCAATAATCAAATACCAATACACCTACGTAGTGATAAAATGACAACACATTGCTAGTTTACAGTAGCCTAACTCATTAGTTTGAGTGAATTGGGAAATTTTCGCTGCAGTTTAATGTTCGCCTTGTTCGCCCGCCGTAGTCTTGGCGAATTCATCATTGCAGCGAAGATTTGTAAACCACATAATATGCATAGAAATTAAATGAGAACGGCGAAGTTTCAGCCGGCGAAATTTTCCCGATATACAGTATGTTGTGATAAAAATGACCACAAAATAGAGGTTAAGATATGAATTTGATTTCAATTAAACATTCCTTTTTTAATCATATATGACTCCACTTTGTGAACACATTTAATTTGTTTACCAGTCGTGCCAAAGCACCGTGTTTAAACTTCCATACATATGCATTATCATCGTGTTCTATTATGACAATGCATTTTTATCACCTCACAGTAAGCATCATTTTAGAAACGTATAGTGGGTAGACATTCACTCAGTAACTAGATACCATTTCAGCTTGTTGAATGTTCATAAATATTGAAAAGCATAATAACAAAAGTTAATATGACGGTCGCGGACGAGACCAAAACCGGAAATACTTATATATATCCGGTTGCGTAATGTGTCCACAGCATCTGTGAATGGCATTTACATTTCGTTGAGTATATATATTTTTTCATTTTTTTTTCTATTTAAAACAAAACACTTCAAATCGCTCCGTTCACACTAGTATACGCAATCAATAATTTCTAAGTGAAGGAATGCCAAACGTGTTTTTTTTTATCGGAGTTGGTCAAAATATGAAATTTCATGATACGCAAGTATTTATTTAATCGGAAGTGCTCCGAACATAATGTTTCATAGTATACATATATGTGTTTGATCGGAGGTGTTCCAAATGTAATATTTCATTGTTAACATGTACATGTTTGTGGAAATATTTACTCATATTTGTTTAATTTACTTTCAGTTAATGTTTACCTAGTGTATAAACACAGACGAATTCATGCTTGCTCAACGTGTCTTCAGAACTAGCTTGTACTTACTATATAATTAATGGCGGCTAAATTACTTTCAGGCAACCTGTCGTTAACTTGTATTTCATGTGTTTGTACATATTGATGATATACGTATGTGTTTCGTTTGAAACACTTGTTTTTGTAAATACAAGAATTTTGTCAAATATCACTTGCGGCCTATGGTAGCAGAGTACAGTAGCATACAGTGGCCATGGGTGATATTTTTATACAATGAATAACCCCTGTAATATAACATGTATCAAAATTTAAAAAAAAAAATCAGCACTAAAATTGGCATATACATGATGAAGTGGACTATGTGGGCTTCATAATTTAAAAAAAAGAAAAGTCGAATTTGGTTTGAGACTACAATTTTGGGCATTTACGAATCTGTGTCTACACAACAAAAGCTAGCTTTTCATGTAGTCTATTTTTGTACTCAGCACATGTGTAAATATTGTGAAAAATCCACCGGAATGACCTATGCTAAAACGTGAGTATTTCTGTTACCGAGTAGGCGATATTTAATTTCAGACAGGTTTTAAGAAAAACAATTCTACTTGCGGGGGTCAAATTCTGGGTTAAAAATCATGATTTTTTGCATATTTTGGTGTTTTTTGATGTGGTAACCATGGTTTTCAGAAGTCCCAAATCTGGGGAAATCACTTTTTGAAAAAAAAAAGTTCTTCTAAAAAACACCTATTAAAAATGTAGTTTATAAATATATATATATATGTAGGTGTGTTGTGCAGGATGAATCCGCTATCCATGTTTATCCGAGACATGCCCTTTATTTTTAGGGTCAAGCCATTTCTACTGTACTCTGCCACCTATGCAATATGACGTCACTGCACTATATATTAAATAAATACACAGAGAGCTCACTTCGAGAGAAGTCATCACTTTTCATATACATCAGTTTAAACGAATATGGTATCTTGAAGTATTAACTGATTAGCTTCACCAACATCACTTTATATTAGCTTGTAACGTCACATGTTCCTTTTTATACTAAATGTTTCTTCTAATAAGTTACTGACCTAGATCTTACATAATGTGGTAAGATGAGGGAGTGCGAAACAATGTCTTTGGCCTAAAATTTACCAAACAAATACCTTATTAATATATAAATATCACGTAGATCATTGGGTGTTATTTCATCATTTCAATATTTTAGGCTATTTGGGATATCTGTCATTCCATATTATAGTTCTGTCAGTAGTAGTAGTTAAATTTAAGAGGATACATTGTGTGTGAGAGATTTTTGTCCACCACTTGTGAAGAGTAAGAAAGCGTTTCTGATTACAAATTAACAAAACAAATCTTATTTTGTCAAAGATTTGGAAAAATATTGAAGAGACTTAAAGACAAATACTGTTTTCAATGTTTACATTTGAATTTTTGACAGTTTGCACGATTTAAGAACGGTTCCATGAAAACGGACCCTGATACCACTCAAAAGTAAAGAATGTGTCGGGCCTATCTTTCGTGATTTCATAACACATTTATGTGTTCCTCCTTTTTGCGAATGAATTGACAATGTTCCGGTATCAGTTTACCTCTGAAGCTTCGTTCGTGTTGCATTGCATTAGACTTTTAAATGCGTTTTTTTTTATGTTAAAAACGTCTAAATTTAGCCTAAAATGGGAATATACAAGGCAATCCGTTCTAAACGTCAATGATGATATGAAAATGAAATGTCATCTATGACATCAGCTGCATTTGGAGTTAACTCCCTTTAACCGTTTTGACAGGGATGTTGGTAGGTATATCCCTTATCATCCTGACAGAAACAATGTTATTTTGTCACAACGAATGAACACGAACATCAGGATTTAGGATAGATTTTATGACGTCATCATGTTAATGTTGTGAGATTTATGTCCACATTATGTTCTACGAAACAGCCAACGTAAATATGTTCATAGTTGTGTGGGTGCTATTATCGCGCCGATAGTAATTTTTATTGGTAACCTGTGAGAATTAAATGCATATTTTCAATGTTTCAGCTCCGGAGTTCTTGCAGAATACGTTTTAACCGAAAGATATCATATTTACATTTAAAACGACCAAGAAAACAATGTATTTCTTCTTTTTGAGTAGTTTCTTTCCCTTTATGATACAAATTAATCAAATTATTTTACTTAATGGTGTAACAGTCAATTTTGCTTTCCTTGGTTAGCAGTTCCGACAGGCGCCGAACGTCACTAGGGAAAACTTCGGGAATTTCCGTCATAATTTGACTTTGACGTCATGCATTGTTTTGTCTTTTACGCTGGAAAGATAGAAGAGTTTCCTCTGGGAAAATAATAAAGTGAATATCATCTTGCTGTTTATAGTTATTAAAAAAAACTTGTTCAGTCGGTAGGTGCACGTTACGTCTGTAACCAAGGAATGATTTTATTGGATAATGCAATGGCATTTGGTCAACGTTATAACCTACTCGAAGTTCTGCTATAGTCATTAAATGAAGTCTCTCGGCAGTGTATTTACGTTGCATAAAGCAAATTTTACTTGTACATGATTTAATGCAATACAGATTAAACGTCTTTGTTAATACCGAAAACAATATCTCTGAAATATTTATTCATACTCTCAAAAAACCCAGAAAAACGGTGCGAAAACAAGACTATTGGAAACATATAGTTCAATGTTGTAAACAGGTTTTATTAGATACTGATAATGATGCTATAATCTAATGTCTAACATATACAGATGAAGATGGTATACAGATGTGTTATATGTTAGGAAGTTAACTTTAAACGACTTTATGAGATAACTAACTCGCGTTATTTAAGTTTTATTTGATTGAAAGGAGTAAATGTAATTTTCTGTTTGAAACACGACAATTTGACTTTCTGTTTGTCGAAATACGTGTCCCAACTGCTTTATGCATTAGGCATATGGCAATGTGTTGCCCATAAAATTAAATGAGAATGATTTAAAATCACCAGATCAAGAAATGACCAGGTGACTGACAACGGAAATGTACAAAATATTTACAGCATAAAGTTCTGAACAATTATAGAATAATTGTAGAGAAAGGCAATGATGAATGAAATATCATAAATGCCTAAAACGGTGTTCATTGTTTTGGTTAACGAACCTTAATGCCGGACCTTATAAACATTCATAACCCTTT